TAAAAAAAAAAAAAAAAAAAAAAGGCAAAGTGAAAACCTGAACTGTTTTACCAAAAGAGACTTCACTGTTGTACTTAAGAGCAATAAGCAGCCCTGGGGAAAAAGGCTGCTTATTTCCATAGCTCCCAAAAAGAGGTTTGGGAGGAGGAGAAACAGGTTAGTCGCTGGGCTTTCCAGCCAACTCATTCCTCTCTCTCCCAAGTACTTTAAACTGATCAAGCCCCACACTGAGAAACTCTTGTTGACATTGTAACACAACGTTGCTGCCTGATAGACCTAATTACACACACAAAAAAAGAGGCAGGAAGAGCTCAAGACATCAGAAGCTCAATAATTACCAGAGCCTCTTCCCAAATGCCAATCTGACCAACTTCTCAGGCACGACAGGTTTGCACGCTGCAGTTTCTTCTCCCATGGCGCGGGCCTGCAAGACTAAATTGCTGTTTGGGCACATTGTCACATCTTAGTTCAAATCCCGGGCTGCGTTCCCAGCTTTCCTCGACTCCACAGTAGGCACTCCCCGTGCCGGTGAAGTTATGGGAATACCTGAGGTTCTCCCTCATTTTGCATTTCTAGTAGAAAGAGCCAGGCTGGTCTGATCTGTGGGTGCTCGTGGAGTCATTACTCTGCAAATGTTCCGTCACCAAGGTCCTTCTGCAAACACCTGAGCACACTTATTCCTCCCTGCTTACACCCCCTTTTGTCCATCTCCCTATAAAATCAGGGAAACATTGCTCCTTTCTCGGCATATTTGTGAACAGAGCCTGGAAATTTTAAACTTACGGTCCTCCAGAGCTTAGCACAGCAATAAATAACCATTAGGCAGAATATAGTGACACAGACTGCACTGAACTTTCCAGGAGGAAAATCTACAGGGATCCTGTGCGTCTGCTAAATTAGAGCTCCCAAACTCTGTCTGTATGCACCCATACTCGTCCTTACTCTCTTTCCTCATCAAGTGATGAGTCTGCAGTGTTATCACTGCTGTGTTACCTCCACAAACTTTCTGCTGTGCTGGCCCTCTCCATGGAGACCGAAGCATCGTACCCACCTCTGTCACGCAGGCTCCCTCCTGATGAACAGCGAAGGATGTCAGGGAGTGTGTGTTAGTGGCTCCTGTGCTTTACCTGACCCGTCTTGAATAGACAGTTTCTATTGCCAAGTCTCTTTTTCACCAGCACTAAAAATGAAATCAAAGAAAGAAAAAAAAAATCATTTTTTTTTTTAAAGGAGAAGCAGAAAATTCTGCTAAACAAAGAAAACACAGCATATTCCCCCCCTTTAGAACAGGGTTTCTGGTGAAATGGAAAAGAAACAAACACAAAACAGCCCCTCAGCAATGCTAACTTTCTACTTCCTAATGCTCTCAAAGGAAAGGATTATACCCCAAATCTCCGATCTCTTTGGGAATAGGAGCAGTTGAACAAGGAGAATAAATCTATTAGGTGTGTGCTTTGAGAGCAGATCTTTAAAAGGAGCAGATGGAAAATTCACTCTGAAATGCTTCACATGCTGCAGCCTTAGGGATCATCACAAGGGATTTGTACCATCTCGAGAGCTCACAGGTACAGAGAAATTCTCCTAGGCTAAGATCAACGCTGCTACACGCACAACTGGTAAAAGGTCTTGTAATCTGTAAATTCAGGGGATAAACTGCATCCCCGGCTTTAGGAAGCTTTTATCTAAACCAAGAAACATTCACCACATTTGCAGCTCCATGCAAAGCCAAACCTGCTTCCAGCCATGCTCCCCATCCGCAGCTGGGCATGCACGGGGTAAAAGGGTCCTGGACAAACACTCCAAAAGAGCCCCTTCATGTGCTTGCTCCAGCAAAGTCAGAAAACCACATGTGCTGAAGAAGGCAGTGGCTGACTGATCTTATGGGAAGTATCATGTACATTCTCCCTGTTCTTCTACTCTTTCCTTTTGCTGCTTGTGTGCTCCGTTGGAAACAGGTCCCAGACAACATGGACGCTGGCTTTGCACCATGCTTGCTACCTTCTCTCCAGCCAGGCATCCTCCTGCCCTGACAGCATAGGACCAGTGCTCCCAGTACAGCATCATTTCATCTTACAGTCTTCACAAATACATCTCCTGCAGTTCAGAAATCCTTGGGGGAAGGAGAGAGAAGACGACGACCCACTGAATGTGCAAATTGCCCCAACAGCTCATCTGGATGGGGAGTAAAGCTAGGGGGAAGAAATGCAACCAAATAGAAAACACAGGACCTTACAAGAGCTTTTCTGACTTCCTCTCCTTTGCAGATCCTCCACCAACCTTAACTGTGAAAGCAGAGAGGGATCAGAGAGGTATTTGTGGTGGTTTAGACGTGGCACTTGAGGACAAATCCTTTGAGAGCTGCTTTCCACCCCAAGTTCTTGGGGGCGAAGGGCGCTCACTTGTGCAACCATGACATCTCTCACCAAGGGTACTCCAGCATGCACCAGCTCTCGACCTGTGCTCCCACCCTGGAGCTGCTCAGTGCCAGGACCTGCAGGCTCTCCGGGCATAAAACAGATAGATAAGCCTGCTGCAGCTGCCAAAAGGATCATTATAATCAGCATGAACTCTTCACTGCTGATTGCAGAGCCCCAGCAGGCAAGTTCATGATCAGATCTGTCTCAGAAGCAATCCCCCCTTCTGAAGTTTCATGGCAAGAAAACCCAGAAGAAGCATCATCAGCTGATAAACCCCAACAGGCGAGACCCCAAGATGCTCATCTGTTTGCACTTCTGCTGGTGCTTTTGAGAGCTTACGACAGGTGAACAGGAATTCCATACCCAAAAGAGATGGTAGAGCTAACCATCCCAGGTGTGGAGGCAAAATTGAGTGCTGTTCCCTCAAGGATGAAAGTTGAGTTGCCTCATCATCACAGAAAGGAAAGGAGGAAAAGAAGGGAGGGAGAACTGGGAGAAGTGCACTGGACATCCGGGCTGGGAGCAGGAAGAGGAGGACTGGAAGGGTTGGGAGAGGGGGTTTTTCCTGTCGACCACCTGCAACCCCAAATCCATCTGCGGTGGCAGGAACCAGACCTTCCAGGGTTCCGGCACTGGCAGAATGAAAAAGCACGTGAAGGTGGGGAGTGCCATCAAACTGCAGCTCTGGCCACTACCTGCTTAGCCAAAGCTGGCCCTTGTGATAGGAGGCCAAAAGATACTCAAAACTTGGCTGGACAATCCCCAGGTTCAGAGATCTCCAGAGGTCCCTTCCAACCTAAATGATTGTATGATTCTGCGTCTGGGCTCCCAGGTGGCAATAATTCAGAAATGCGAGCAGGAACCTGGAGTCAAGATGTCCTGGGTCTGCCCCCAGCTTGAACATTGCCTCTCTCCAGCACCCAGGGGAAATCACGCAACCTCCGTGTCTCATTCTCCCTCTTTACAAAGCAAAGGTGAACTCAAACTGCTTCAACAAGTGAAGAACTGACAGTCTGGCTTACAGCTTTTTGTTCCCCATCTGGGGCACAGGGACAAGAGCATGCTCCAGGAGATGCTCGGTATTGCAGCAAGCAGAAGCTACAGAAATCTCTCCTCCAAGTGCTTCCAGGTACCTGCTTTGCCCTCTGCGAAAGGCAGCCGCTGAAGGTCTGTCATGCTCCTCAGCTGAGGTTAACAGAGTGGTTCATGAACATTCATTTATTCCGATGAAATCCTTAAGACAGTAAAATCGCATCCAGTTTTCAGAGAGCAGGTAATGGAGGTATGGAGAAACAACTTGCCCAAGATCACCCTAGAAGCTGCGCTAGCTTGGGATTCACTCCACATCTAATTGTCCTGTCCGCAAGATCATCCATCTTCCCAGCCTGCCTTTTTGCAGGGGTTTCCTTCTCCGGTGCCTTCTTGCTTTTTGCATAATGCATTGCGAAATCTACTTAACATATAGAGCTTTTAGTTCTTAAATTTATTATTTAGTGTTGTTTTCTGGTAATAAACCAGCCATATTGTTTTATTTATTCTTCTAGGCTGCACACAAGCACTTCTCCGCACAAAGAAATACCCAGCTTACGAGCAAATCCTTTTATGTTCCGCAGTACCGAATGGCAGAGCACCCTGGATGCAAAGTTCACCCCCCTCCAAATCTCAGAGCAAGGGACCACAGGGCAGAGCTTTACAAGAAAGCTGGTAAATCCATACAACCACACAGTGGCTGATGTTGTACTGCTCACCGCATTCCCATTTACAAAGTGCAAAACATTTTTTGGGACGCAGGAAGCAAACTGAGGAAGCAGGTACTTTGCTCCATCGCATGCAGTGGGCACAAGCTACTTGAGGAGTAGGTGCATGGCTGATATTTTGTTCACCACTAAAAGGGATAAATTAGGTGTGGGAGGAGAGGAAGGCTCTTTTTGCTTTTACCTTGAAGCAACTGATGAACAAGAACTGTCTTGAGGTAAAACCACAGTGAAGAGCCAGGCGCTTTGCGTTGTACGAGAGAAGCACGCAGAGGTCAACTCCAGACAGGAGGAGAGGGCTGGCTTTCCAAACACTGACTTTGTGAGACAGCTCGTCCTTGGTATTCTTTGTGGTTTTCAGCCCTAGATAGCTCAGGCACATTATTTTCCCCAAGGCAAAAATACAAACCTCTCTCACCTCCCTAAAACACCATCGACACCACTTCCTCAGCAGCAAATAACCACGTGGCAGAATTCAGGCTCCTGCTCTCTGATTGATGCTTCAGGTCATAATTATGCACAAATTTAAAATTTTCTTTGTCCTGGATAAGTTATAAGAAAAAGGAAATATTGCCCGAACAGCACAGAAACACACACAATGTTTAACAGCATCTCACTTAGCAGGGTGGGTCACTATGGAAAATAACCTGTCTCTATGGGTTTTCTGGAAAGTTTGCCCATTTCCCGCACGCAGCGAATAAGCCAGTTCTGGAGACTAAGCATATCCATCGAGGGGCCTCTAACAAGCATGAAATCATGCGGGTGGCTTCTCGCGGACTTCAGCAGGCAAGGGGGCAGGTCAGCAGTCAGTCCTCGCGACCCAGGCACGCTGGGAAGTTTATATCCACGGAAAGCCTATAGAAACCAGGGAACCCCGGCTGCTACATCCAAGCAAGGTACAGTGACATTAAATTCATCAGTGCTACATGGCCAAATTAACCAGGCTAATCAACTCCAAGTGTACCTTCCCTCCCTGTAATAGCTCTTTCACCCACTCCCCGTCTTCCCACTTGTATCTGTGCTGCTGTGTGTCTAACACCAGCTTTTCCCCTCCTCTCAGAAAAGCCTTTGATGCGCGGGGCGGGCAGCCGCAGCAGTCTCATTAGCAAGCTGACAGCCTTCTGCACTTTTTGGAGAACGCTTCATCACCACGTAAGCGGAGGCCACTCCTTTTCAGACAGCCCGATCGATCATGCCAAATAACTAAATTACCTGACGCACCGTAATCACCCATATTTATATAGCAGGCGGATTCTTATCTGACACAGTTCATTACAAAGCAAGCTAGAAATTCAGATGCACAAACACAACTATTGCCAGGACTCTATTAATTTGGACTAGCTTCAGGGAGGGTCCTGTGGGTGAAAACCCTCTCTCATTACCAGACACCCGAGTCACACAGTCCCAATTAGGCGAGGGACATTAAATGCCTTTCTGCTGCACTCACAGGCATGCCACACAGCAGAAACCCAGTCACTCAACTAATCTTCACCTTCACTGTCTGCAGAAGTTTTAGGAGAAAGATGTCACCGTGCCGCACACCACCATGCTACCACCTTCACCGGGCTTGTGTAAAAGCTGTCCCCCTTTAACTGTAACAGCATCCTAGCCCCACTACCACTGTTACACTGGTAGCTAGTAGCACTTCTGCATGGGTAGGCTTTGGACTGTGCATATTCACGTAGATTTGGCCACATACAAGTGTGGAAATGCACTCTGCACAGAGAGATTGAATCACAATAACCAATTCTGGAGAAATCACACCTCCAACAGAAGCCGAGCCATGGGGCAAAAATATACCTAAGGACAGTCTGCCTTTTCTAGCCTTCTGAGAAAAGTTCATGATCGTCCTGCTCCCTCCTCTCCCATCACACAAACGCCCCCAGCTTTACTGGTCCTTCTGCATTGTATCACACAGTGTTTTCCTCCTGGTTTTTTTTTGGACGCCCCAGGAGCTCCTTTCACTCATCAACCCAGCACCTTTTCTAAGCAAGCCTCTTCTAAAGACC